ATACGCTGACGTGCCTTAACCGACTCGGCCAAAAAGGAGCGTTCGGTATGCAACGTCGAATTTACTGCTTATAAACTTCAATCTTCCATGAATCTCGTACATTCATAACTGCTCATGGCGTATCAAATGTAAACAAATGACGTCATATATTAAAAAAATGGACAAAGTCCGACAATTTATTTATTAAAGACATTAATGTCTTTAATAAATAAATTGTCGGATTTTGTCAGCGTAAATGACGGTTCCGTATAGGATGCAGGTTCGAATCCTTTCTATGAAAATTTCTCGGACATTCAGGCCGGTAAATGTTATTTAATACTGTTTATTATAAACAGAGTATTTACTTAAATACTTGTATCTATAAAAAAGAACGTTAAACATAAAAACGTCTTTAATATATATATATATATATATATATATATCTGAGATGAGGTATTATGTACATTATTTACATTATTCGGACTATTGTCCTCATTTTTGTCGCCATATTTATCACAACGTTTCGGCCGTTGTACGCTCCGGCCTTCTTCAGGTGGTTGGAATGTCGAACTGAACCCTTTATTTCGCTCACTGGGTTAGACTGTTCCAGTTCCACCTGCCATGTTTAATAGATGTCACTTATCAATACCTGGTTAAGGCAGTGGAGAACTTTCAGAGGGAAATTAACAGGAGATAACTGTTTCAAACGTTTTTTTGCGTGCACCTGAATGGACTAAATCTTGTATTTGCAACATGTAAGCGTCGACACAATATGGCATGTTATAATAAAGACCACTAGCTTTAATAAACGTAAAAATATCATTTTTTTTAATCATTTCACCCCAGTCAAGGTAATAAAGCCACTAAAACACAAGGGACTACCGTCTGTGAGAAAATATGAGAAAGATCAATATTAAGGAGAGAGAAAGAAAGCTAAGAACCGGATTTAAGAAGACGATAACTACTGATATTCTACTGCTTCTTCCTGTGCCGTGTCCGTCTAGGACGTAGGCGATCATGGCTCTCCACAATTTCTTGTCCTTTGTAGCTCTTAATAAATGTTGTCTTTTCGTCATTTCTCAAAAGTCCTATTCCGCTATCCATTTAAAGATCATTAAGCAAGTTATTCGTTGTTTTTCTCTGCCCCGTTGCTCCCTAACCTTCCTGTGAGTATCAGATTTTCTAAACCCTCCTTCCTCAGAAATCTCAGATGTTTCTTTCGGGTGTTAAGCATAAGCTTCCTTTTTGTTTCCATTTTATTTAAAACTTTGTAATTGCTCACATTTTCGGTCCGTAATATCCTTATCATTCTTAGGGAGAATTACATTTCTTTCAAGTTTGTGGAGATTGTGCAACATTCACTGCAATATAGGAGGACAGATATCATGTAACAATTCAGTAAACTTTTCTTTGTTTCTAACGAAGTTTTCCTGTCTCTTAATACCCTGCTTAGCTTATGGAATTCATCTATGGCCATCCCAATGCGTCTTCTCATTTTATCGAACGTAATCTATAAAACACAGGTACACGTCCATCTGCATTTGAATTGCTCTTTCTGATAACATTCTGAGCATAAATATTGCGTTCCTTGTTACAGTGTCTTTGACGAACCCACACTGTTCTTGTCCTATCTGATCAGTTTTGATATATGGCTCATTAGGTTGATTTTCCGATGGAGTTCAAATTGCAACTGGTTTCTTAGGCAGTACTATGGATATAGATCTACATAGTTCTTTCGGTATTTCGCCTCTGTTGTAGATTTAATTTATTATTTATGTAATCTTGTGTACGCTTTATTTCTGTTCAATTTGGCTAGTGCAGATTCCACTTCAGTCATAATAATTCTGGTCGGTCATGTATAGCTGTTTGTTCTCTTTCACGGTTGAAGTGTTTTCTTATATATTTGTTCCATCGCTGAACCAATTTTTCTTTCTTTAATATCATCTTTTCGTCCTTGGATTTGATGCTGAAGAGCATGTCTTTTTCTCATATTCTTTAATGCATATCTGCTTCATTCGTGATACTCAATCTTTCTATTTCTACACATTTTTTTTCGTTGAGTCATTCCTTTTTAGCCAACTTGCATTTGTTCCTAGTTTCATTGTACAAGACCCTGTATTCTGTTCCGTATCTCGGCATTGTTTTTGTTTCTCTTTCAACATGACAAGAATTTCGTCTGTCATCTATTCATTTTTTTTTCTTCGTCTATTTTCCTCTGGGATGATCTCGATTGCTGTTGTTACTAAAGCTTTCATTAGCGTGTCCCAATTCCAGTTTCTATTTTCATTTTGTCCCTCGTATCTGCTTTTCATACTGTTCATATATTTCTTCTTTCAGATTCGGGTTGGTCCAGACTGTTTCGTATTGCTATTTGGATGTTGCTTTTGGCCTCTTCAGTCCATAGTTTCACTCAAAGGTCACATATAACTGGGAGGTGATCGCTTCCACAGTCGGCACTTGGACATGTTTTGAAGTGTACAACTGTATTCCTGAATCTTTTTCATAGTCGATTTAGATTTTAGTTTATCCTCCTGGGCTTCTCCATGTCGATATTCGTCTTGGGTGTTCTTTAACCCAGGTATTGTCTACTACCTGGTCATTCTCCGCACACCATTGAAATATTTTTCCGCTTTCGTTACGGATTTCTTGTACGATTTGCAAACTATTTCACCATCTGTTGTAGCATACCTACGGACGATAACGTGTATGTCCCCATTCACATGAATACAGTAGTAAATACTGTATGTTGGTCTGCAGTTGGAGATTCATTGTGGAATTCATTTTACTCACTTCTAGCAGTTGACTACTACTTCTACGCGCTGCTGGCAAATCTTATATGTGTTGTTCTTGTCCTAATTATTATCGTTCATTACCAACCTTCGTGTGATTATTCTATTCAGTAACCTTCCCTACGTTACAACACTATCACTCTCGTTGCTTTTCACACTAAGCAAAGCGAGAGTACTACTAGTTCGCAGGGGGGTTACACAGAGTGAAGGTGTGAGAAAAAATGTGGAGAGGGGAATGAGGAAAGGATGAAAGATAAACGGGTTTCAAGACATCAGAAGATGGTGATTGACGTTGCTTTTAAATTTTTGAAGATTGCAGATATCAGGGAAACAAGTAAACGGAAGGGAGTTCCACAGGCTGGAAGTGAGAGAAAATAGACTGTTGGGGAGTAGTGGCCGTTATATTTAAGTATATCAACGATAAAACGGTGGAATCTAAATGCTAGCCTAGTAGCTTAATTTTATATAGTCGGGGAACCAGCGAAGAAATATCGACAGAAGAATTACTATGAAAATATATGTAGAAAAGACATAGGGAAGTCACGTCAAGTCTGTGACAAAGGAAGTGTCAAGTCAGGATCGATTACATTGCAGATCTTTCTGTGGATTTTGTCAATAACCTCGAAGGAGGAATGAGGAAAGGATGAAAGATTAACGGGGTTCAAGACATGAGAATATGGCGATTGACGTTGGATTCAAATTTTTGAAAATTGCATTTATCAGAGAAGCAAGTAAACGGAAGGGAGTTCCACAGGCGGAAAGTGCGAGAAAAGAAGCTGTTGTGGTAGAAGTTGCCGATACATTTAACTATATCAACGGTAAAAGGTGAGACGTATATGCTAGTCAAGTAGCGCGCTTAAACTTATATAGTAGGGGCACCAGGGAAAAACGCTCGACAGAACAGTTGCCATGAAAATATTTGTAGAAAAGACAGAGGAAAATCACATGACGTCTGAGAGAAAGTGACTGGAGTCAAAGTGCCAAATCAGGATCGATTACATTGCAGATCCTTCTGTGGATTTTGTCAATAACCTCGAGATGAACAACTGGGGCACCAGACCACATATGGCAACTATACTCAATGCACGAATGAATGGTAGATTTGTAGATATGTAAGATGGACTCTGACGAGAAAAAAAAAACTTCTGTTACGACATAGTGAGCCAACTCTCCTTGCAGCAGATGCAGCTATTGATTCAGTGTAGTTGTTCTACTTTAAGTCTTTTGAAAGCGTGAGGCCAAGAAGGTGCAGAGAGACACTCTCCTGGAGTCTAGCATCAAACATATTACATTAATAAAAAAAAATTGTAAATATAATTAAATACAACATTTCCATCACTGAAATCTATTGCACTCCAATGAAAGCTTCGAAGGTTTCTGTCCTCTTCAGGTCAGACATTTATTTCTTTAGACGCATAAAAAATATAGGTCTATTGTTTCTCGTTTAATCTTGTCACATTCAATTACACAAAAGAGTAAACAATTTGAATACATGCCAAATAATATATATATATATATATATTCAATTTTCTTTTTGCATGGGAGATACACTGCAGAGACTACCGCGCAAAATAAAAGCGTGAAAAATATAGTGTACATATGAAAATTCGAGGTTCCATCCTAATATATTTTTAAAAAAATGTTAATTTTCATATCCAAAATAAATTTAGTATATATATATATAACCCAAAGAGAGAAAAAGAGAGAAGGAAGTTAAGAGAGATGTCACTAATTTTCTTTGTAAAAAAAAGCTAGAAACAGACGATGTTATTTTGCTTTACTTTGAAAGTGTTATTTTGGGGGTTCATAAAGATTATAATGTTTGATATAAATTTGAATGTCTCTGGATTTTATCCTCCTTAGGTTTACCCATACGGATTACTTAGTTTTTCATAAGCTAAATATATATATATATATATATATATATATATATATATATATATATATATAACTATAACATAGTAATTCAGTCATCAAATGCCTCTTGTCCGCTTTCTGTTTTTCGGTGCCGCAAAATCACTCTCGTCACTAGAAATATTTAATGGCGTTATATCTTCGTATGCATCTTGAATAAAATTAACATTTTGTATTTCTTTTGTTACACTTTTTTGAATACGAATTCGGTTATCAGATGCTGCGATTTTCATGTTGGAATTTCACAACACGTTCAACATTGTTATCATTTGTAAGAAGATGATTTCCAAGTTTATTGGCTATGTGGAGGCCTTCTAGATGCTAACGACTGCCGCGGTGCGCCGTCTGATGGAGCGGTTACACGCAGCCAGTGTTAAGTATAGAACTAGCACAAACCGGAGTGTGGGTGATCACTATACGGAAAAAAATAGACCGGATACTATTTTACTTCGCTAAATTGTTACTTAATCATGTTACGTAGAGTTTCGGAATTTTGTAAATTATAACTGATTGATGTTACTTGATCGTTTACTTGGCACTGGCAATAAATTCGGTGGTCACACGCGGACAGATGTTTAAACCGTGTTAAAGTAAAAAAAAAAATAGTGTAAAAAAATAATCGGTTCTATTTGTTGGATCGTGTTATTTCAAAAGAGCGCAAAAGAATACGTGCAAAAAGAACAGAAATATATATATATATATATATATATATATATATATATATATATATATATATATATATATATAAACAGTGGCTGCTGCTGCAATTAACGTATTGCTCTTCAATTATGAATTAAGCGCTCTTGGCTACTGGCGTTTGTATACATCTAATATCTTAAAGAATTTCCCTTTCTGTGCTGTGATACAGCGAGATAAGTTTGTATGTGTATGACTATATATATATATATATATATATATATATATATATATACTCGACTTTCCCGCCGAATTCGACGGATGAGGGTCAAGCAGATCAGTTCCTAGGAAACCGACAGCCCGACACCGGGACATGAGATTTGATTATAGTGGTGAAGGTTTCGTGCAGGACCATCCACATTTTTTGAAGAGCCTAATAAAGAGACCTTGTGCACCGAGTGCCACAAGGTCCCCAAACGACCCTCCGCAGGTTTTGAATTCAGAGTTGTCTTTCTCCTAGACCAGTTGCCATCCAAGGCTATAGAACCCAGTCTGTCCTGCTATTTTACCCATAGCTGGAGGGAGAGGAAGAGCATTCACACATTTCCCAAGGGTATTAGCACGTAAGTGAATGTAATGGATCTGAGTGGATTGAGGAATATATATATATATATATATATATATATATATATATATATATATATATATAAGACATTTTTTATGATTATACGTTCTTTTGATAGATACAAATATTTCAGTAAATGCTGTGTTTATAATAAACAGTATTAACAACATCTACCGGCCTGAATGTCCGAGGTTTTTAGCCATCTTGACACCATTTGTTGTAGTTATCACTGAAAAAACCTTTGACTCATTCAGTCAGAAAGAGGACAGCTTAAAATTTGTGTCAGTCCCACTGTCTTCCAAATGAGCAATGATGAGAGGAAAAAGATCATTCAGTTCTTTAGTAATGGTATCAACATTTATACGCTAGCTTCATCTACAAAGTCCATTTAGCAAGGATCAAGAGAACGTTGGATAGTCCAAAGTCTATCCAAAAAGCATGAAGAGAACGGTGAACAAGTTTAAAAAAGAGGGGAAGAATAGAGAAGAGAACTGGATCTGGAGGTCATAACAGGAAGAGGGGTCATCATTTCAACTTAGAGCTAATCCATGAGACGTTTGGCACATGAGAAAAGAGACCGTCCAAAGAGCAGTGAAAAAAAGAATTGAAAGTGAAATCGTACGTGAAAACCTGTGAAGTACCTTGTTACTCTCTGGGTCCGGACACTGGATCTAACTAACGCCTTTATCCACAGTGCCATGTGTCCTTGTGCATGAATTTCTGGGTATTATAAACTTAATCTCTTCGCTAACAACAAAAAAAATGCAATATGAGTTCTGGTAAAAACATAAAAATGATAACAACAAAAAATTGCAATATGAGTACTGGTCAAAAAAGATAGCTGAAGACATTAGGTTTATAATACCCAGAAATTCATTCACTGATGTCCTCAAGGACAGCGGATAAAGGCGTTAGTTAGATTCAGTGACAGTATCCAAGAAAGTGTGAGTTCAATACCTGGTTAAGGCGGTGGAGAACTTGGAGAGGGGAATTAACAGGAGACACCTGACATCCATTAGACATGGCACGTGGAACTAGAACAGTCTATCCCAACGAGCGAAATAAAGGGTTCAGTTCGACATTCCAACCACCTGAAGAAGGTCGGAGCGTGCAACGGCTGAAACGTTGTTATAAATATGACGACAAAGATGAAGAGAATAGTTCGAACTATGTAAATAGTATATTCTTTTCTGTTCTCATAATTTTTTTTTCGATATTTATATTCATTGAAGTATTTTCTATAGAAATGTCGTTCATATTTCCCATACAGTAAGTCAATTCATTTTCATTCTCTTCATATTCCAAATGTAAGGAGGAAGTATCACTCAGTTTCTTCCCCAGAACTGTTACAATGTGGAATGGACTCCCGAGGTGATGCTTCCTCGATCACTACAATCTTAACCTCTTTAACCGTTATCTATCCTACATATCCTGATAATATTCAACGCTTGATCCTTCTCTATGCGTCCTTACAGCATCACCCATCAGTGACCCTCTACCTCGAGTGACACTTAGGCCTTTTATGGGTGGACAATAGTAAAAAAAAAAGAATGAATTATTCCGATGTAGAAACAGCCGTTTGGGTTTTTTTCATTTTTGCTTGGGTGGAAGGAATCCATTGGCCAACAATTAATGGCCAATAGTTGATGCTATTCGCCGTAGAGTTCTTGAACTTTGGACAGTGATTAAAGACATTGGTCTGTTAAAAGCAGAGGTCATTCTTCAATATTTCATTTTTATGGAATTAGATTTTGTGATGGAGGCGGGGGTAGATTTTGTAGAAGTACAATTGTTTCCGTTTTCTTTCGTTTGTATTCCTTTAGTACACACATATACACACGCCTAAATACATACATACATACACACACACACACAGCTATACAATATCAGTGAAAGAGCTAACATAAGTTGCAAGGATATGGGTTTGTGAGCCTCGGTTTCAAGTTTTTACGATCATCAGACAAATACACCCACGAACATTCATTCTCCAACAGAAAATACCCCAAAAGCACCACACTATACGCATACATATGGCAACTAAAAGACAGAAACATCACACCCAAAATAAGCTGGGAAATCATAAAGACCGCACCTACCTACAATAACATATATATATAAACTAGGAATTTATTGATTTTAATTTTATTAGTCTCTAAGGCCCTTTTAACCAACATCTCATCAGGAGACAATCGTTGGATCATTAATTAATAAAAAGAACAGTAACGAAAATAAAGAGCAAAAAAAGGGGGAAACACACTAAAATAAAAAAACAAGTGTATATACTTGTAACGAGGGGAGGGGAAATAACGTGTAAATAAATTAGCGAGGGACAGTTAAAATAAAATATCCCCCAACAGATTAAGGGACTTCACAAATTCTTTCTGCCTGCAATATATATATATATATATATATATATATATATATATATATATATATATATATATATATATGTGTGTGTGTGTGTGTGTGTGTATTTTATATGTTTTTTCTTTTCGATATTTTTCAGTTTTTTTTTCATGCAATTATCTGTCTCTTTCATAATTGTTCTTTTCTTTCATAAATTTCCTTTCTTTCTCTTTTTATCTTAAACTCTTCTTTCATTCTTTTCTTTCTATAAGATTCTCTTTGAGCTTTTCCTTATTTATCTCGACCTTTCTTTCTTTCATTGTTTTCCTTTCTTTCTTTCTTTGTTTTTCTTCGTTTATACATCATTTGTTTGTTCTTCCTTTCTTTCTGGTTCTTTGAAACTTTTTTTAAAGAATTTCATTTTTATTTTTTTGCGTTCTTTTATTGCTTTTCTTGCTATCATTGTTGTTTGTTTGTTTCTTTCTTTCTTTTGAATCCTTTTCTTTCTATCATTGTTTGTTCGTTTCTTTCTTTCTTTTGCCTCCTTTTCTTTCTGTCTATGTTTGTTCGTTTCTTTTTATGACATTCTTTCTGTTTCTTCTCTTTGTTTGTTTGTTTCTTTTTTCTTTCTTTCTTTTGAATCCTTTTCTTTCTATCATTGTTTGTTTGTTTCTTTCTTTCTTTTGCGTCCTTTTCTTTCTGTCTATGTTTGTTTGTTTCTTTTTATGACATTCTTTCTGTTTCTTCTCTTTGTTTGTTTGTTTCTTTTTTCTTTCTTTCTTTTGAATCCTTTTCTTTCTATCATTGTTTGTTTGTTTTTTCTTTCTTTTTGCGTCCTTTTTCTTTCTGTCTATGTTTTGTTTGTTTCTTTTTTATGACATTCTTTCTGTTTCTTCTCTTTGTTTGTTTGTTTTTTTTTCTTTCTTTCTTTTGAATCCTTTTCTTTCTATCATTGTTTGTTTGTTTCTTTCTTTCTTTTGCGTCCTTTTCTTTCTGTCTATGTTTGTTTGTTTCTTTTTATGACATTCTTTCTGTTTCTTCTCTTTGTTTGTTTGTTTCTTTTTTCTTTCTTTTGAATCCTTTTCTTTCTATCATTGTTTGTCTGATTCTTTCTTTTGAATCCTTTTCTTTCTGTCTTTGTTTGTTTTTTCTTTTTTATGACATTCTTTCTGTTTCTTCCCTTTGTTTGTTTGTTTGTTACTTTTTTCTTTCTTTCTATTGAATCCTTTTCTTTCTACCATTGTTTGTTTGTTTGTTTCTTTCTTTGCGTCCTTTATTTTGATTTTGTTTATTTCTTCTTTTCTTTCTTTCTGTTGCTTCCCATAATTTGTTTCTTTCTTTTGCGTTTTATTTCTGTCTCACTTTGTTTCTTTCTTTAATTCTTTCTCTCTGTGTTTCTTTCTGTTGCTTCCCTTTGTTTGTTTGTTTCTTTTGCGTCCTTTTCCTTCTGTCTTTGTTTGTTTGTTTCTTTCTTTCTTTCTTTTGCTTCTCTTGGTGTCTTTTGCGTCCTTTTCTCTCTATGTTTGTTTCTTTCTTTTGCGTCCTTTTCCTTCTGTCTTTGTTTGTTTGTTTCTTTCTTTTGCTTCTCTTTGTTTCTTTTGCGTCCTTTTCCTTCTGTCTTTGTTTGTTTTTTTGTTTCTTTCTTTCTTATGCTTCCCTTTGTTTGTGTCTTTTGCGTCATTTTCTTTCTATCATTGTTTCTCTCTTTTGCTTTCTTTTATTTCTGCCTTTGCTTGTTTGTTTCTTTCTGTTGCTTTCCCTTGTTTGTTTGTGTCTTTTGCGTCCTCTTCTTTCTATGGTTGTTTCTTTCTTTCTTTCTTTTGCGTTCTTTTCTTTTTGTCTTTCTTTCTTATTCTCTTTTACTTTTACGTATTTTTCTTTCATCTTTTGTTTGTTTCCTAGATTTTCTTTACCGTTCTTTCTTTTCGGTCAACTTTCTTTCTTGCTTTGCACTTCCTACTCAAGTGTAATTTACACTGAAATATTCATTCTTTGTTTCATTAATTCTTCTTCCTGGTTTTCTTTCATTTTTTTTTTCCTGCTCGAAATTCCAGTCTTTCATCATTTCTTACCTGAAAGGTGCTGATTTGCAGTTTATCATAATTTTTTCATCGTCCTGATTTGGCATCACCTGACCTCTTCAAGTTTCGAAGAATGTGTTTCCCTTTCCCTCTGACCTCTTGTCACATCTATCTTCTTTTGGTTGGCGCCGTTTTTTTCATTTAGACGTCGGACGTTCACAATCTCAAGAAGGCGGTAACAAAGACTATGCGTCATTCTTACTAACATAGAATGTCACTTTCGTTCTTTCTTTCTTTCTTTCTTTCTTTCTTTCTTTCCCACCTTTGTTTTTGCTCTTTCTTTCTTTCTTTCTTTCTTTCTTTCTTTCTTTCTTTCCAAGCATTGTTTTTGCTTTTTCTTTCTTTCTTTCTTTCTTTCTTTCTTTCTTTCTTTCTTTCTTTCTTCTTTGCTGTCATTCTTTCTTTCTTTCTTTCTTTCTTTCTTTCTTTCTTTCTTTCTTTCTTTCTTTCTTTTGCTTCCTTCTGTTTTCTTTCATTACATTCTTTATTTTGTTCTTTTTTCTTTCTTTCTTTGCTTTCTTTCTTTCATCGTTTTCCTTTTTGTTTGTTTGCTTTCTTTTGTTCTTTCCTTTCCTTCTTCATGATTTTTGTTTTCTTTCTTTCTTTGCTTTTTTCTTTGCTTTTTTCTTTCTTTCTTTCTTTCTTTCTTTCTTTCTTTCTTGTGCGCTTTCTTTCCTTGATCTCTTTCTTTTTCTTTCTTTCGTTCTAAAATGTCTCTTGTTATCATTCTTGTCATAATTTTAATTCACTTATTCTTTCTTTTTCTTTCTTTTTCTTTCTTTCTTTCTTTCTTTCTTTCTTTCTTGCTTTCTTTCTTCCTTCCTTCCTTCCTTCTTTCTTTCTTTGTTCTTTCTTTCTTTCTTTCTTTCTTTCTAATTTGTCTCGTGTTTTCATTCTTGTCATAATTTTAATTCACTTATTCTTTCTTTTTTCTTTCTTTCCTTCTTTCTTTCTTTTTTCCTTCTTTCTTTTTTCTTTCTTTCTAATTTGTTTCGTGTTTTCATTCTTGTCATAATTTTAATTCACTTATTCTTTCTTTTTTCTTTCTTTCCTTCTTTCTTTCTTTTTTCCTTCTTTCTTTTTTCTTTCTTTCTAATTTGTTTCGTGTTTTCATTCTTGTCATAATTTTAATTCACTTATTCTTTCTTTTTTTCCTTCGCAATTTTTTTTTTACCTCATATTGTCAGTTCGCTCGAGCACAACCTGCTAATTCGACTCACAAAGCCTTGGTTCAACCGGTGGTATAGTTTTTCTAGCAATTTCCATCGGTGCCGACTAAAAGGCTACAAGTACCAGCCACCCAGTTAGGATTTAATCAGTCGTAACCGACCTAACTAGACAAGATGTTCGCAGTCGGTTGAGCTCCGCGGTGTGGTACCTAGATATTTTGAATTTAAGCGCAATACTATGCTAGTGTCGTCTCATCAATTTACAGTTGAGCGATCTGGATAGAATCATAAAATCTATGATAACAGTTTCTTTCCTCACACTTCTCGCTTGTGGAACTCCCTTCCGGCTCTATGCCATCCAGTCATATTTAATGTACAAAACGTTTAATGCAATGTCAATCGCTATCTGCTGTCCTCCTGATTACTGGTGTTTTGTCTTAGCTCCTTAACAATATTTCTTTTTCCTACTCTTCCACGCCTCAGTGGTATTATTGTCTTGCTTATGGCAAAATGGATTAATATATATATATATATATATATATATATATATATATATATATATATAGATAGATAGATAGATAGATAGATAGATAGATACACCTAGTGAGCCAGACAAACCTACCTAGAGTTTCACCTAAACGGATCGTCAGGGGAAAGTCAAGCTAACGAGGCAAAGAGAAACACATATATCTATAGCCTTTCCCTGACTTTCCCTGACGATCTGTTTAGGTGAAACCTAGGTAGGTTTGTCTGGCTCACTAGGTTTATCTAGGTCTGCTCTACGGTTGTATTGAGCGCTTTCGTTAGTTAGTTGTTTACACGTATCAGGTTTTTTCTTTGGGCTTCAGGCCTGCATCTGTGCGATTTTTTTTGTCGGCAGAAGTTCATGTTTGTAGCTCTTTCTTTTTTTTAAAACCTTTTTCCCTCAAGATTGATTTGATTAGCAAATCAAAAATTCGAGGTTTTCAGAAACGAGTTTAGTTATCTATCTATCTATCTATCTATCTATCTATCTATATATCTATCTATCTATATATATATATGTGTGAGTGTGTGTGTGTGTGTGTGTGTGTGTGTAGACATAAGGAGTAATGGGAATGATAGAGAATGATATGACTTTAGAAGGTACTGTAGATCAAATCCTAAACAGGAAGAAATTGACAAACTATTACTCCTGTTCAAACACCGAGGAGATCTGGAAACCGGGCGATAGGCGAATCTATCTACTCAAGCTTACACACACACACACACACACACACACACACACACACACACACACACACACACACACACACACACACACACACACATATATATATATATATATATATATATATATATATATATATATATATATATATGGTACAGGTGATCGATCTATTGGTATATAATCCGGGTGGATACTAGTAATATTAGTTATTAAAAACCTTACGCCCCTACCAATCGCTAACACAAATCTATTCTCATTAACAAGGCATCTACCAGAGGAGGACTGACATTGAAAATAAATTTAAACGAATGCTCCGAGACAGGCACATAGGGGCTGATGATAGCCGTGTACAGAACAGCTTGACATATACTATCTTCCATGTTGAGGTAATTTTTCCTGTAAAAAATGCTGGACTCTTCCATCGTATTCGATGTATAAGGGTCAAACAGGTCAGTTCCTAGGAACCGACAGCACAGACATAAGCAAATATGATTTGATTATAGTGGTGAAGGGTTTGTACAGAACAAACCACACTTTTTGAAGTGCCTGGTGCATTATGTGCCACAGGATCCCCAAACAGCCCTACGCAGGTATTGAATATAGAATTGTCCTTTTCCTAGACCAATTAACCCCCAGAATCCACGTATTTCGAACTCAGTTCTCCGGTTACTCAATCCAAGCCACTATACACTTCCACCGTACCTCCTGCTGTAATATATATATATATATATATATATATATATATATATATATATATATATATATATATATGTATGTATAATTATTTATATATTATATGTATGGTACTTATTAGAAAGCTAACTCAATATCAGAGACAGAGCTAACATATTTGAGTTTGTCTGATGATCGCAAGCGTGAAACCCAGGTCCGCAAACTCACATAAATCAAGCAAATATATATATATATATATATATATATATATATATATATATATATGACCCCCTACCGCCCCCCCATTTTGTACTCGGTGTTCTTCAGAGTAGCCAGAAGCAGGCTTGATTTAATAGATGACCTGAAAGTTGAAAAATCTTAATGATTAATTTAAATCGACGATAATACATTACACACACACACACACACATACACATAGAAGTGTCTGTGCGTGCGTGTGTGTGATGAAATATCGTCGATTTGAATTCATCTAACATTTTTTAACATTCAGCTTTCAGTTTGTCAGATACAGTGATGTCTGAAAGAGACTGCTCCGGGGTGGGTGTTTATACATCTATTTTTGTCATATTTCTCATTCGTGCATTCCATGTTTAGATGGCTCTTACACTTAGGTCTGCTCTCGGCGCCCAGAAGGTCAACTATTAACTCAAACCTGCTTCTGGCTACTCTGAAGAACACTTAGTGCACTGTCTTTTCTAGTATAAACTGGACGCTAGGTGTCACATACTATATATATATATATATATATATATATATATATATATATATATATATTATTTACATTATTCGGACTATTGTCCTCATCTTTGTCGCCATTTTATTACAACGTTTAGGTCGTTGTACGCTCCGGCCTTCTTCAGGTGGTTGGAATGTCGAACTGAACAATTTATTTCGCTCAATGGGGTAGACTGTTCTAGTTTCACGTGCAACGTTTAATAGATGTCAGTTATCTCCAAGTTCTCCACCGCCTTAACCAGGTATTGAACTCACACTCTTTGGGTCCTGTCACTGGATCTAACCAACGCCTTTATCCACTGTGCCATGTGTCCGAATAATGTTAATAATGTACATAATACCTCATCTCATATATATATATATATATATATATATATATATATATATATATATATATATATATATATATATATATATATATATATATATATATATATATATATATATATATATATATATATATATATATATATATATATATATATATATATATATATATGATGTATTATGTATATATATATATATATGTACATATATATATATATATATATATATATATATATATATATATATATATATATAAAGAACTCCACTGCAATTCGAAATCGACTTCCTTGATTTTTCTTATTTTAACAGCTATTCCTTACACCACCTGAACATACATAAGGATTTACTGGATTTGCATTTATATGAAATGATGCATGCTTGTATTCCACTATCCTCTGTCCCTCTCTCTCTCTCTGTCTCTAGTTAGCCAGATAGAAGCATTTTTACGTATATACAGGAGCTATGTGGCGAAGGCAAACTTAATTGGCTCCCCTTCGAACTACTCAACTATAAAAGAAATAGACAAAATTGTAGAAAAAAAGACGAACATGTAATCTTTTGGATAAGGTTTATTCAATGCAATTTGACTACAATTTCTTCAGATTAGGTGTTCGTTTTTTTTTCTTTATATGGAAGTTTTTACAGCTGGTCACTCGTATTCGAAGCTACCTGTCTTCTAGGGAGTCTAGCCAATCCCTACTGCAGACGCTTGCTCAGGCGCAACTATGCTTATCAGACCTTAGTTACAGTTGTTATCAATCGTAATAAACAATTTGAAGTAGGCCAGAACGCTCAAGTTCTCGGCCACGATGACTTGTGATTTCATGCTAGCGCAGCAATCGACGGTCGTCTGTCTAATTTCACTCACAAGGTTTAGGGCTTAATTTTCAGACCGCACACTGGGATTGACCCCTCCAGTCGGATAACATCAGTAAGTCTCCCCTTTCTGACAAATCGACCATGGTGAGATTCGAACCCGGGTCTCATGACGAGAATGCGAACATTCTAACCACTCGGCCACTTGCCCGTTTTTCTATATAAACTCCTTGAAATAACAACATAACGACCTGAGATCCCCATATGCTATGCATATGGGGATCTCAGGTCTTATATTGAATTGAAGGTTTGATTCATAGAAACTTTGTAAATTATATTCTTACCTATAGGAAGTATGTACTGGCATTAGGCTACGCTGATGATTAACTGGTTAACCTGCGTTATGCACCCAACCATTTGTTAAGCACACTAGTAAGCATTTTTGACAGTTCTTCGTTATTAAAACTCTGATACTCCTTTTCAATACTCCTATCATCGTCGTTACGTAATGCCTTATCTTCTGTTCCATTGAGAGTATTGCTAATGCCACACTTTTTAAAAGATTTCAAAACAATTTCTGGTCTAATATTATCCCAAGATTGCGTCACCCATTCGCAGACTTGTGTAATGCTGGGGCTTTTTATTCTTCCTGTAAGTGTAAGGTCGTGATCAGGCATTGCCATCCACGTGTTCCATTGCTCCTTCAAGTTTAAGTCTAAGCTAATAGGAGTTGCCAGGTAGCTAATTTCGGCCGACGAAATTTAAACCTACATATGGCATATAAGACGCAGAGGAATTTTAAAAGATATATTTGGTAAAAAAAGTTCGCCTTACATGCCGTCAAATGCGGTAATCACGATCCGAGAAAATATTATTTAAACATTCGTTGTATTATTCATTTATACCAGAAAAATATAATAAAGAACATGAAAGTTACATCGTTTTTTTTTAAATTTTATTTTATACTAGCAGCATGGCCCGGCGTTGCCCGAGCTTGATTCAAAAATCGTACGACTCATATAGCAATCACTATCACTTGACTTAAAATATTTTTGCCCGTCCTTGCCTTTAAAGGAGTGCCCTTTGCCGTGCTGATGTTGCTACATGCCTTACTTCTTGCCTATCTCACACAGCCAATTTTTTTCTAAGCTCTATACTAAACATTAAATCTGTTAAGAAAAAAGAACTAAACAAAATGAACACAAAACGATCAGCTTTAAAAAAGGACTCGTAACTGGAAAAACCGAATGAAAAAAGAATGTTAACAACAAATACTTTTTCACACCCAACCCAGTTCTGCGGAATCAGAATCAACGTTGATTGTAAGCAAGCGAATGAGCCAATTCGAGTAAAGTGCCATGCAGATATAAATTTTTCCCACTTGTGACGCATGCTGCTATCGAGTTTTTTTTTGCATGGTAGCATGCTAGTTAACATTCGTGTCAGTCAGCTGTTGGCTCTCACGCTGGCCAGTAGAATTTTCCTGCCTATTCGTGGCAGCCAGCTATAGGCTCTCACTCTGGCCAGTAGAAAATGGCAGCAAACTACATGAAAACTTCCGTAGAAGCATGAAAAATCGATTATTTCCACTATTGATGGGAGATGGGAAATGCTAAGTCGGTCTTGGCCTTCCCGCTAACTTGGAGCATGTGCATGTAAATTTTGGTGCAAATGCGTTGAAAATTGCGGCCGTGCATTCGTTACACACATACACACACATCCTGCATTTTATAGACAGAGATTGATTTTCTAGGATTATATGAAAATGGCCTTTTGGTATTTTTGGTGCTGTCCCCACAAAGTCACACGTCATATCATAATAACGGTGTTGTCATACGTATTTTAGTTCACTGTTTTACTCTTCATTGTATCGTATTCGTTAGTTGTATAGAAATGACTTTTAACATGAGTGAAGAATTGAATAATGTAACCATAATATATAAAAAACTAAAATGAAAATGTTAAAAACATCGAGTTAGATATGCTGGCATTCTCTCGTGGCGTGGGATGTGTCTACTGTTTTGTTTTCTTTCCGTGTACCGGCAGACGATGGCTCGTGTACAACATTTTGAGTGGCCCTGTATTAATAGGCAATGGTTATTTCTCTGTAAAGAATCTACGTTGAGCTTCCAAGTATAAAATCTTACTTATTTGTAATATTAATAGGGTGAGGCAGTTTT